AACCAAGTGCTTTGGGACTCCTGAGGGCAGGCCCATAACTCTGATGGTTGGTGCAGGATAGGTTCCATCCAAAGGCGCACATCTAAACTGCGTGGGTGTTCTGAGCAGAGACGTTGGGCCTATCAGATTCTCAAGTTCGCCTCTGAATCAGCTTATTCTGTGAGCCACCATTCACACTGGTTTATATAACTCTAGTCTGCTTTCTGTACATTTTTTAAAGTAAAAATGGGATCGTTTTCTATGGACTATTTTGCTATCTGCTTTTTAAATTTAATAATATTTAATGATTATTTTTCTATATAATCTACAAAATCATTTCTAATAGCTGCATTGTACTCTATCATATGGATGTACCAGGGGTGATATTTTAATAGTTAATACAGCATGAATACTAAATACTCAGAACAGATGCTGACTGCACACAAATGGCAGAGCTGCGTCCTGGTGTAATATTGCTGTCAGCCTTGCATGTACTGGTCAGATGCAGAGAAATCCCTATTTCTAAGCATTTATTGTTATGTAGGGTGTGTGTTTGGTGAGGAAGAATAAAAGTGGCTTCCAAATGAATGTAGCTTTTTGTGAAAGGTTCAATTATCAAGCTTTTAAGGTTTTTACTTTCTATCTTAAGCACCTTTTAAGGCTTTTGCGTAAATCAGAATTTGACATTTCAATCCAGATAAAGTGGAATCAAGGATTAATAAACAGTTATGAAACAAGGGATCTGTAATTTATATAGAAAACATTTAAATTTAAAATTATATTCAAAAGGTATTTAATTTGTGTGGTATAATTTAATGTTGGGTATATAGGTTCCCAAATGCCAATGAGGTCATGAGAATCAAGAATCGCTCCCAACCAGTAATATAGGCTTTCCTAAACAGTGCTTCAGTAGCATTGTTGGACTTAAAAAATGTTTTTTGTTGTTTTGTTTTATGTATTTTTTCCAATCAAGTTAATAGATGTACATAGTTTTTAAAAGAATACAATTAGGCTTAAGCGTTAGGCTGCTAACCGAAAGGTCAGTAGTCAGAATCCACCAGCCACTCCTTGGAAACCCTATAGGGCAGTTCTACTCTGTCCTATAGGGTTGCTATAAGTCAGAATCGACTTGACGGCAGTGAGTATCTTTCCCTACTCCTGATTCTCTTTTCCTTTTTGCAACTGAATTGCAATCCTTTTAAACTATCCTAGAATTTACTTCCATTTATCTTATGGCATATGTTAGATGACTTATGCCGTCATTTCTTGATTTTTTTCAGCTTTAGATAATGAGAATTTACTTCTCTTTACGACTTTGCCTCCTTCCTGCCACAAACGCTGTAAACTTACCATCATCATCCCAGTATAGTTATACGAACATTTTTAGTTAAATCAGTATTCAGTGTTTCTATCCTTATTATTTGTGACTGTTATAGATAGCCTAGAAAAACTACACATACTATGATTACATTTTCCTAATGTTAAAAATTGCCTTATTTTCTTTTTTGCTTAGTTTTCTATGTAGAAATCACAGTTCATTCCCAAATTCTGCAGCAGAACTGGAAAGTTCCTCGTTATATGTTCAAACACATCAGAAATTCTTTCAGTGTCATTTTCTTCTTGGAGGCATTCCCCTAACTCCAGTCTAAACTTAGTGCTGTCTGATCGCCCCAGGACCAGGTACCCAACAGCTAAGGCCCCCTGAGCCTGCAGAATTATTCAAAATGCCCAATTCCCAGGAAGCCTGAGAAACCTAGCTAACCCCACCCTGCTTGCCATACATAAGCTCTCTTCTAAAATTCCAGCTTGTTGTTACCCTGTCTCCGGGTGCAGCCCCCTGTTTGGTTCTGCATCATGGCATGCTGTACCTCCATATCTCTGGGAACTGTGAGTATAATAAACCTAGTTACTTTTCATGGTCTCCCTGACAACTCTTTCCTGTGTCACACCTGACTTACCATCCCACAGATCTGTTAGAGCACTCTCTCCTGTGTTGGATCCTCTGCTTCTTGGACCCTGTGTCCTCTTCTTTCTTGGTTTACTCCTTGGATTTGGTGGAGAACATATTCCAGAAACTACCTGAGGATAAGTGCACAGCACCTAAACAATTTTTTGAGATCTTCTATACCTGAGGGAGTCCCTGGGTGATGCAAATGGTTAAGTACACAGCTACTAACCAAAAGATTGGCAGTCCAAACCCACCCAGAGGAGCCTCAGAAGAAAGGTCTGGAGATCTGCTTTGGAAAGGTCACAACTTTGAAAACCCTCCGCAGCATAGTTCTACTCTGACACACATGATTTCTCCATGAGTCAAAATCAGCTCAACAGTAACTGGTGGTGGTGGTATATTTTATTTTCCCCTCACATTTGATGCAAATTAGTCTGGAAATAGAATTCTACATTGTAAATTATTTTTCCTCAAAATCTCTAAGGCATTGCTCTATTGTCTTATTGCTTTTTATGTTGCTTTTAAAAGGTCTAATGCCGTTCTAATTTCTGATTCTTTGTATCATTTGCTTTTTTCTGTCTGGAAGTTTTTAGGATTTTTTCATTAGTGTTCTGACATTTCACAGTGACATGCTTTGACGTGGCATGCCATAGTGCCTGGACATTGGGTAGTTCTTTTCAATCTATAAACTTGTGTCCTCTGCTCTTGGAATTTTTTTGTATTTTATTTTTGAGAATATTCTTTCTATTTTCACTCTTTTCTCTTTTTTGGGGTATCCTATCTTGAGGATGTGTTGGATCTCCTGAACTGATCCTCTAATTTTTTTTTCTTACCTTTCATCTATTTTCCACCTCTTTGTGTTCTACTTTCTATCAATCTCCTTAACTGCATCTTCTACTGATTTTTTTAATTTCTGCTATTTTTAGTTTCTAGGTACTCCTTATTTTCTGTTTTTATCAGTTAATACTGTTCTGTTCTTAACATCCTTAACTCATTAACTTTTCTCATTTTTAAGCTTTTTATTGTTTTCAAATAATGTTCTAGTTTCTTTCATATCAAGCATATGGTTTATCGATTCTTGAACAGTAATGATGAATTCTCTTTTTAAAGTTTATCTGGTGGGCCATCAAAAAGACCTGGTATGAGGAGTGAAGGAGCTTGGGTGATGCGAGCAGTTTGGGATCAGCTGCTAACCTAAAGGTTGTCAGTTTGAACCTACCTGTGGCTCCACAGGAGAAAGACCTTGCTATCTGCTCCTGTAAATATTACAGCCAAGAAGACCCTATGGGATGCACACCTATGTTCACTGCAGCATTATTCACAATAGCAAAAAAAAAAAAAAAAATGGAAACAACTTAAGTGTCCATCAACAGTCGAATAGATAAGCAAAATGTGGTACACATACAATGGAATACTATGCAACCATAAAGAACAATGATCAATCTGTGGTACATATTATAACATGGATGGACCTGGAGGACATGATGCTAAGTGAAATAAGTCAGTCACATAAGGGCAAATATTGTATGATCCCACTTTTATCAGAAGATAAGAATAGATTTATACAAAGAGACCAATGTTCATTGGTGGTTACAGGGGGGAGGGGGAGATATGCTCTAAATCATAGATATTTGTTATTTTTGGTGATGGGAAAAGTGGCACTGAATTTGGGTGTAGTGAGCACAGCTTGACCAAAGTAAATGATGTCACTGAGAAACACTCAAGAGAAAAAGATGCTTTTACTAAAGAATTTGACATGTAATTTGGCAACAACACCAACAATGACAAAAAACGAGTGTATGATCACATATATATGTATACAGGCAGATAGTTATATGAGTAGGTACATGTGTATACATATGTGAGCACAGATAGAAATATCTATATGTATGTGTAAGTACAGATATGTGTGTGCAGGCACATACACTTATAGAAGACAATTACAGATTCTCCTCAGACATAACCAAACACCTTGTGAGATTGGTTTTCTAAGTTTGGAGGCTTAAGACTTTAGTTCTATGGGACAGCTTAGTCGATTAGCATAATATAGTTCACGAAGTTCATGTTCTGCATCCTAAAGAAGTGAGTAAAGTCTGGAGTCTTAAAAGCTTGTGAGTGGCAATCTAAGATACAACTCTTGGTTTCTACTTGTCAGGAGCAAAAGAATAAGAAGGAAACCAAAGTCACAGAGAAGAAGGAAATCTTCAGGGCTAGTAGCCTACACGAGCCGTGGCCTCATTCACCATGAGACCAAAAGAACTAGATGGTGCCCAGCTACCACTACTGACCATTCTGACCAGAGTCACAAAAGATGGTTCCAGATAGAATGGGAGGAAAATGTAGAACAAAACTCACATTCTTAAAAAAAGCCAGACTTACTGGACCAATTGAGATAAGAGGATCCCCTAAGACTGTCACCCTGAGATACTCTTTAAGCCTTGAACCAAAACTATCCCCTGAGATCACCTTTTAGTGAAATAACAGAGTGGCACACAGGGCTATTACCCATAACTACAGTGCTCTACTAAAAAACCATCTATATGAGACCAAAAGGTCAACATTTACTCTAAAGCAAAGATGAAAAGATAAGGGGGCAGGGATTCTAGAGTACTGGAAAAGAACAACGAAAACAATTAAAAGGGAATATTGACACATTGTGAAAAATATAACTAATGTCACTGAACAATTTGTATAGAAGTTGTAAATGGAGACCTAATTTAATGTGTAAACTTTCACCAAAAACACAATAAAATATTATTTTAAAAAAAACAAAAATCCTACCGGGCAGTTCTACTCTGTCACTTGGGGTCGCTATGGATTGAAATAGACTCGACAGCACCCAACAACAAGAACTAGGTTCATAAAGAGTGGATTTAAAAAAGAAAAGAGTGGTTTGCCTTGGAAATGCTTGCGAAAAGTCTATGCTCTTTTTTTCCAGATGAGCACTGAAGTTTCTTAAAGTCTCTCCAACTCTGATCAAGCACTATTTTGATGCCACATTCATGGAATTAGTTCTGTTATATACTATTTCAGTATTTCACAGATTTACTTTCTTTATTCTCTCCTATCCTAGTGAGACTGTATGCAGCTTTATTTCTCATGTCAGAGAAACTATTCACAGGGTAAGTACATCTTCATTTTTAGGAGTTAGAGCACCATACATTTTAGAAAGTTTAATAATTATATTGTATTTCCTTTAGTTCGTGTAAAATAGCAAAATTAACTACTCTTTTAAAAATCATTAAATGAGAATTCTCTAAGTTAATAAAATATGGTAACAGTCTATGAATTCTTAATTTTTTGTTTTTTAGTTGCAGACATCTGTGGAAAAGTCTGAGGAACATCTCAGTTCAAGAAGTCAATCTATTTTGGATTCTTTAGAGACTGTGGCAAAGACATGTGAGTGCCTCATGCTTGAGGATATCAGCAGAGGGCACTGGCGAGCAGTGAACATGAACTTTTTGTCCCTAGTCAGGTTTCTGCCAGTGATGAGGTTCCATACAGCGTTTCAAATGAAAGGGTGGGTACGTAAGGTTAGCCCTGAAGAAAGTAGAACGCGTTAAGTTGGGTAGTGGGACCCACCTCTGCGTGGGAACGCCATGGTCCCATGATGCCTTCTGTGAACAACTCATTCTCAACCCAGTAACCTTGTAACCTCCTGGCCAAGTTTCTCATCTCACTGCCTGTGGTGAATCAGCACCATCCCTGCTAGCTGTGCTGTCTGTGGAGACACTGCCCCTTAGGAGTTAGAAATACTCTAGTTGTCTACTGTTCTTCTTGCTAGCTTGGTTTCAGAGAGAGCTGTTTTATAGTGAATTGCAGATCTTTCTCGATTTTAGTTATAGTTTGTGGTTTGTAGAACCCTTTGCCCTGCCAATTAGTGATTTACATTTAGATGAAACTGTGTTCCTGGCCCTTGCTGAACAGAAGAGAGCCATTACACAGCTTTCCTTAGGTGGACACTTCTCTAGAACCGACAGCTTGGTTAAACAGCAAGCTGACAACTGCATCTGCACTTGTTTGAATTTGTCTCTGTATTTATTTTTTATTTTAAGCAAATTGAAATCAACTTTTTCAAATTCCATGGGATAGATTGCTCATTATTTACAAAAATCAATGCCTTTGTGTGGCTTAGAAATTAATCTCCATCTGTCTGCAAAAAAGCACTGCACTGTCTGCTGGCTTCCAACCTGGGTATATTCTACCCAGAGTAACTGTGCATCTGTTTGGAAACCAGTTCTGGAAGCCTAAGACTGTTACCCCACAAAAGGTAGCAAGGTTAAGAGCAGAGGCAAATCAGGGATGCTTCCATTGCATAAAATGGTAGAATAGCTCACTTGTAAGTGCCCAAGGAAAGCACTCTTTTGTTGTTTTGTTTTTTGCTTTCTACATTTAAAACTAGTTGAAGCACAAAACAGAAGACTGCAGCAAAGGTGTGGCATTTAAGGCCCCTTGACCAACACAAAGTCATGGCAGAGAGATAGGATTAGAACTGAGCCTGGCTCATAGTAGGCCTAGGGATCCTGATCCTTTGCCTTCAATGGTTCCTGGATTTTCAGAGGCTAAGACACTGCTACAAAAGACCTCTTTAAAGTGTTAAAAAGCAAAGATGTCACTTTAAGGACTAAGGTGTGCCTGACCCAAGCCATGATGTTTTCAATCACCTCATATGTGTACGAAAGCTGGACAATAAATAAGGAAGCCTGAAGAAGAATTGATGCCTTTGAATTATGGTGTTGGCGAAGAATATTGAATATACCATGGACTGGCAAAAGAACGAACAAATCTGTCTTGGAAGAAGTACAGCCAGAATGCTACTTAGAAGCAAGGATGGTGAGACTTTGTCTCACATACTTTGGGCATGTTATCAGGAAGGATCAGTCCCTGGAGAAGGACATCATGCTTGGTAAAGTGGAGAGTCAGCAAAAAAAAAGGAAGACCCTCAACGAGATGGATTGCCACAGTGGCTGCAACAACGGGCTCAGGCATAACGATCATGAGGATGACGCAGGACCAGGCGATGTTTCAGTTCTGTTGCACATAGGGTCACTGTGAGCCGGAACTGACTCAATGACACCTAACAACAATAACAAGACTCAGAAGAGGGAGCCGCACCAAGAGGCCAAACAGTGACAGACAGAGTGACATCATATTAATTAGAAGACCAAGTCATTCTTGAAAATGGGCACAATTAGCTTGTTCAGAATCATTCCCTTTCTTGATAAGTAATGACCAGGAATACAAAGTTAGTCCACTGAGAGAGGAACCAGACAAATTCTCTATCATCTGGCCAGGCCCAGTCCAGCTAGCCCACAGCACTAAACTCCACTCAGTGCATTCTGCAGGTTTGCACTCTGCTCACTGTGCTCATCAGGAAAAGAGGAGGTAAAGATGCTGTGTGGAAGTGCTGTCTTATATTATAACATAATTGGAGCTGTCAGAGAGTAAGGTCATGAAATCTTCCCCCAGTCACACTCTACCTGCACAATCAGAAAGGTCACCATAGTGATCTAATTTAACTCCTTCTGTTCTTCAGCTTAGGATACCAGTGACGAGAGTAATAAAATGAATTGCCAAGGCCACCCACATTCTGCTTCACAATGAGTTTAGGTGGGCTAATTAAGTGGAGAGCAGTACTTTCATGTGATAGGCATCAGTTCCATTGAAAAATATGATTGTTAAGAAAATAAAATGGAAGAGTCACTGTCAAATTAAAAAAATGTCTCTTTTGGAAAATAGGTAACTCTTTACATTAAAATAAATTCCATATGAATCAATATATTAGGTGTGTTGATTAAATCATAAAAGAACTAGAAGAAAACCTGGGAAACATTTTTGTAATTTTGAAGTAGGGAAAGCCTTTCTAAGCAAGACACATATAATTGTTAAGAATGAGAACCATGTTGGAATGGAAGGACCTGTTCACTGTTAAATGAAAACAGTGAGGAACCGTTCACATGTACACATAGTTTGCTTCAGGACACATCCTTGTGGCCAGCAGAAACTGGAAGGGTGTTCCCCAAAAAAAGGGGTGCTGAGGGTCCTCCCCTTATACACAGAGGCTCCCAGACCTTTCCTTAGGCTTATTCATCAGCACAGCAGGGAGGCAAAGCTACAGGGTAAAAGGAAAATCACTGGCCATGGGTGGAAAAGCATTCATTTCTAAGTTGCATCAGAATCTGATCTTGTCTCAGTAAGCTCTTATCAAATTGCTAAAATAGAAACAAACAAAAAAAGTTCTTCATAGGAAAAGAGAGATATTCTCCAGAATATGGAAGTGGATTTTAAATGGAATTTTTACACAAAAGCTAAAAATACTGACTGTTAATAGCCAAAGCAGAAATTAAATGAGTACCTTTCTAAGAAACATACATACACAGTCAATCTATACAAGGATATGCATATGCACTATATTAATGCAAAATTCCAGAAACTACTGATAATGTTAAATCCAGGAAGTGAGACCATGGTCTGCATGGGAGAGGTTTAATAGTTGTTCACTGCAGCCCATTTGTATTGTTAATGGTTTCGAGTTATTTTCATAAATAAAATTTTGAAAAAGAGAAAGAATAGATTGACTTTGGAAGTAATGGACTCAGAATAAAAGCTCCTGTAAAGGAGAGGCACCAAACATATGTCTCCCTGGAGGCAAGGACAGAATGTATGGGACCACAGACTGATGTTTTCTAAGTGCTGAATCCAGACTTGAACACTTTGCTTGCCTTCCTCATCTTCTACTTTCAAGGAGTGGGGAGAGGTCAGTAATGTCCACTGTTGCTAAGAAACACTACTATTTTGGAACTCTTCTAAGGAAAGATGGTTACGTTTGCTTTCTACTACAAATATCTCCATAATGTCTTGAAAAGTATGTGACCAGCAAACATCCCTTTTGAGTTTAGGTACAGGAATCCAGTACTTGAAACGTAAACAGCCTCTTTCTAATTGATTGATACATGGAATTTAACTTGTACTGGGGTTAAGAAGTAGGAGAAAGTTTGCTTTCTAAAAAGTTCTAATTTTATTTTTTTCAGTTTCTTTTTTTAATTGTGGTAAAATGTACATGAAATTTACCATTTAACCATTTTTGAGTGTATAATTCAGTGGTACTAAGTATATTCACAATGTTGTGTAACCATCACTACTATCTATTTCCAAATCTTTTTTATCATCCCAAACAGAAGCTCTATAGCCATTAAACAATAATTCCCCATCACCCTCCCCCTCTCCAGCTATGAGTAACCTCTATTCTACTTTCATTTCTATGAATTTGCCTATTCTAGATAATTCATATAAAGGAAGTCCTATAATATTTCTCCTTCTGTGTCTAGATTATTTCACTTAGGGTAATGTCTTCAAGATTCATCCTTGTTGTAGCATATATTAGAACTTCATTCCTGGTTGATTAACCACAACAACAATAAAAAACAAAGAATTTTGTTCCTTTCTATGGCTGTATAATATTCCATTGTATAACTATATCATATTTTGTTTAATGTTGATGGACTTAGGTTGTTTCCACCTTCTGGTTGTTGTAAATAATGCTGCAGTGAACGTTGGTGTACAAGTGTCTGTTTTGTCCCTGCTTTCAATTCTTTTGGGTATATACCTAAGAGTAGAATTATTAGGTCATAAGGTAATTCTATTTTTAACTTTTTAAGGAACTGCCAAGCTGTTTTCCACAGTGACTGCACCATTTTGCATTCTCACCAGCAATGCATGAGGGTTTTAATTTCTCCACATTCTCACCAACACTTGTTATTTTCTGTTTTTGTTTTTTTGATGATAGCCATCCATCCTAGTAGGTGTGAAGTGGTGTCTCATTGTGATTCTGACTTGCATTTTCCTGATGAAGTTGAGCATCTCTTCATGTACTTATTGGCCATTTGTGTATCTTCTTTGGAGAGGTACCTTTTCCATTCCTTCGCCCATATTTTAATTGGTTTTTTTGTTTGTTTGTTTTGTTTTAGTTGTAGGAGTTCTTTGTATATCCGGAATATTAAACCCTTATCAGATATATGGTTACCAAATGTTTTCTCTCATTGTCTAGATTGTTTCTTCACTTTCTTGGTAAAGTCCTTTGATGCATAAAAGTTCTGAATTTTGATGAGGTCCATTTTATCTATTTTGTCTTTTGTTATTCATGCTTTTGTTTTCATATTTAAGAATCCATTGTCAAAAACTAGGTCCCAAATGTTGTATAAGACTACTGTTACAAGAACTAAAGAAAAGGTTTAAACACAGAAGAAAACATTCTTTGATAGTTACAAGGGTGCGGAGGGAGGGAGAGGGTTATTCACTCACTAACTAGAAAGTAGACAAGAATTATTTTAGGTGAAGGGAAGGATAGCACACACTACAGGGGAAGTCAGCTCAACTGGACTAAACCAAAGCTGAGAAGT